GCAGTCCAGCCTGGTGCAGGTGTGGGCTGGCAGCCTTTAGGTGGGAATGTCTTGCTAGGTCTCCAGCTCAACAGGAAGCTGCACATATTCTCAGAGAGGCAGCTCAACTCCAAAGGCAGTCAAGTCCATGTTTCTGAGAACTGCTGCTTTTGTCCAGCAGGATGGCCAACTGCCGCTCCTGGGTCCAGTCAGGGTAAGGGTCTCTACAGACCAAGCTCAAGAGAAAAAAATCTCAGCTGTGCTGTGCAGACTGGCCCTGAATCCCTCCTCTTGCTGAAGAAACCCGTCTCCCCAGCATGGACGCTGGTCTTCTCTCCTGTGTCCCATCGGAGCCTGGGTGACGACGCCACAGACCAAGGGCCGTCTGTGTGTCCTTCTGCCTGGCCTGCTACACCCCATCCGCTGGGGTCCTGGTGCTCGCCATGGCTTCGGTTCACTGTGTTCTTGCACTCCTGGGCACACATCTTGTGGGATGCCCAGACTAAACAGACCAGGTGTCCTCATCCACACAGTGCGGCTGCTCACAATGCCAGCACGTTTGGTGCTTCAGAATGACGTTCGTGGTCGCTGTGCCTGTGCACTGGTCGGCTCCAGTGGCCACATCACCACAACACACTCTTGTCTCCTTGGTGCTGGGTCTGTAGCATTTCCGTTCAGGAGAACATTCCACTGCTCAGGTTCCTGGTAAGAGCTCCCCTCCCACCCTCCTGGCTCTCGGTCAGCCACCCACCTCCTCCTTGTGTCCTCACAGGGCCAGAGAGAGGTCCCCTTCCCCTCCCAACGAGGCACCAGTCCTGTTGGATCAGGACCTCACACCTACGCCTCAGCTGGCCCTGGCCATCTCCTGAAGGACCCATCTCCAAATACAGCCACACTGGGGTCAGGACTCCACCACCTGAATTTGGGGATATAGTGCTATCCACAGTACCCCGTGGATAGCACACTCTGTTGGTCCTCCTGTCAGGCAGAGGCTACAGCCCAGCCTCTGAGGGCTCCCAGCCCAAAATTCCAGCATCGACAGATTCCAGTAAAGCAGGAAATGGGGTGCAATTCAGCAGGCCCAAGGAGGCAGCCAGGGGCTGATGTGCCTCTGTGCTACCCAAGACCTGGGGAGGCCCAGAGGGGGGCAAGGAGCAGGGGGTGTGTGCTTCAGGCATGTCAGAGGTCACCAAGGCTATGGGGGGTCTGCAAAGAGAAGGGACTTGGGCCTCCTGCCTGCTTGGGGTCTTTCTGCCCTGATTCTGACTGAAGGCCAAGGGGACTCAAGCTAGTGGCCGAGAGCCAGCAATCCAGTTAGAGTGCCAGGGTGACCAATGTCCCTGTTGGCTCAGGACTTGCCTAGTGTGGCAATTGGAAGTCCTCTACCCTGAAAATGGCTGGTCCCCTATGGTGGAGGGAACCGTGTCTCCCACAGCCTGTGCACTCACTCAGCACAAGACCATGATGATCAGTTGTGGCCAGCAGTGGGTGACCTTGGACTTGAAGAGTGTGACCTCACTTTAGAGCCAGAGCATCACTCCAGGTTACAATTCTGGCAGCAAGTCAGAAGTCATGTGCTACGCGCGGCCTGCACTGGCCTCCCTGTCTGACCCAGGGGGACGCAGTCTCCATTAGTACCCACCTCAAGGAGACTGATGGGCCTCAGGAGGCGTAGGGACTGGTGACCAGAAGCATGCTGGCACAACAGCCTGCATCTATCTGACTCGACAGCTTTATCTGACAATCACAATCATGACGGAAACAAATTCTTTACACAATAAAGAATGGTACACATGGGTTTTCTGGGGATCGCTGGCTAAATCCAGTAACTTTTAGAAATACATCATTTCTTTTCTTTGCCAATTATTCTGGAAACTTCCTTTTGAGTGCTAAAAGCCTCACTAAAGAGCAGTGCCTTTCCCAAGCACAACTCCTCTGCGTGTGTGCTGTGGATGTGACGTGCTTCCTCCTGAGTCCCTGTCATCCAGGAGGTGTGAGGCTCGTCACTGGCAGCATCACTGAAACTAGACCATGACACAGGGACGCTGAGACTGTGAAGGTCCATCCCATGGAGCTTCCCTGAGCTCTGGATTTACTCCACGGACCCTGCAAGGCCTGTCAGTCCTCAAGCCCCCACTCTGACCCTGCCCTGGGTCCTTCCAGCACACCAACTTGACCACGCAGTGTCCCACCCCACAGTCCATCCCCGGAGTCTCTCTCAGACCTTCCTACGGCTGTCACCTCTCATCAATTTCCACCCAACAGCCACCTGCTCAGAGGGCCACCTCCACATCTTCACTATTAACTACCTGCCACAGAAGCCAAATCCCCGAGTCTGTGACACCCTCGCAGCAACCCTCACAGGTGGTCTTTCTGACCCCAAGGGGGCCCTCGAAAGCCTGCCATGGCCTGAATGTGTCTCCCCAACTTTCACGTGTCGGAACCGCGACTGCTCAGTGTAGCAGTCAGGGCTGACAGAGGCGTCTGGTCACAGGGGGCAGAGGCCACATGATTTGATTTTTACCTTTGTCATGGGAACAGGTGCTCTGCCACAAGAACTTGACCCCTTTCCTGTCTCCCAGGCACCACTGGCTCTTCCACTCTCTGTATGAGTCAAGGCAGCACAAGCCCTCACCAGACCCTGAATCTGCCAGCTTCCTAACTGTGGGCCCAGAGAAACCTTCTTCTGCATGAAGTACCCAGTCTCAAGCCCTTTATTATAGCATCAGAAGACAGTCTAGGCCAGAGCCCATCAGGAAGGAAGCCTGACCCCATGGCCCTCAGACAGCACAGGGGCCCAGGGGCCAGCAAGGGGACCCCTGAGGATACCATCAGCACACCAGCAGCCAAGACACTCTGCAGTCTTTATCTAAGTAAACTCAGCACACGCTTTATTTGTAATTTACATTCAGATGTGACTGTACACTTGAAACTTGGCTGTTTGATTTTAAAGATCTGCTGCCACCTGCGGAAAGCACAGGTTGCCCCCCTTGGCGTGCAGGCTGGAGTGGGGGAGCCCGCTAATGAGCCACCTTCCTCCCTGCTGACAGTTCTGCCTGAACGAACAGTTCCAATAAGCCGGTGTCCCCACCTCAGAGCCCAGTTGCCAGGCAAGGCAAAGGGATGATCACCCTTTGGGATCAGTCAGGTAGGGCCCTCTGCTTCCCCAGGAGGCATTTTTTTAAAAAATTCACACAAAAGCATAGAACTCAATATCTTCTTCCTTCTTGATAAGCAAAATGATCCTAACCATAGTAATCTCTCATAACCTTCTCTCTCCCACCCACACAGCAACAGTGAGGACCCACGGGCTGGCCCCAACATCCATGGCATTGTCCCACGGCCAGGCCCACTGCCACCAACCCACCCCATCTGGCCCACACCTGGGCACTTCTGATGACCTGGTGCACCTGCTCACAACACCTGGAGAAAAGATGCAGCACAGACCCGCTCTCCAGCAGCGACTCTGCCTGGCTACTCCACTTCCTGTCCTACCACCCCACACCCTACTCACACTGAACGACTGGCCGGTCCCTAGATGCTCCTAGAGTCCACATTCCCGCTACTTTGCCCAGAATGCCTTGCCCCTTGGGAAAACCTCCCAAAAAGCCCACAGACGCTTGGGCCACGGGAGGTGGTGGGGCAGCAGTAAGCTGTGGGGCCTGCTCGCTCTCCAGGTGCTCCTCATCCCTCTGCCCCACAGCACTGGTCCTCCACCCTCAAATGGGGTGTGACAAGAGGGCAATGCACCCACAGGCTGGGCCATCTCACCACGTCTGCCTGCACTCAGCCCAGCTAAGATTCTGCATGGGCCTCACAGGGAGCCTGAGCAGCTCCAAGCAGGGACAGCCTTGGACAGCTGCTTTTCCACAATCCGAAGGACGATGCCTGGTGACGCTGGTATTAGAAAACCTTAACTGAATATGCAGGTGCGGTTCAATGCATGCTCTATCTCGCCCCCCAGGACCTCCAGCACCTCCTTGGCTGCACTCCTGCAAGGTGACATGGCAGTGGTGAAAAGCTGCACTTGGCCATCAAATAAATCCAGGTGGAAAACAAAACCCTGCCAGTCCCGTGTGCCTCGTGCAAGTCACTCTGCCTCTCAGTACCCTGTCCCTTCACATGCTAACCAAGATGCTGACAGCAGCTATCTCAGGTGAGCCTACTGATTTAATAAGAGGGTCTGTGTACAGCAAGGAGCACACAGGGCTCTAATAACACTGCCAGGGTGAAGTGACCCGAGATAGGAGGGTAAAGAGACCCCGAACCAAGACGCCTTCACACACACACACACACACACACACATATACACACACACACATCACTGCAGATTGTAGGGTTTTGACAAAGCATACCCAAGGGGCCCAAGTAACCCCTTGCCACTGTGGTATGAGCAGTCACACATGAGGAAATACTGTCACTGCTGGTGGCTCTGCTGGTTCCTGGCCACTGCCATTGTGTCGGATCCTGCGTCTGGTCCTTCGGGAAGTTCTTTCAACTTCACAGACTGGTTGTGTCAAGCCTCTTAGAGACCGTGACGGGGCTGTCTTGGACTGGCAGGTGCCACAGGAGCACACAGGAAGCCTGCCTGCCTGCTAGGGCCAGAGAGGCACCCCTGCCATGGCAGGTCACACCTGAACCTTGGGGACTCGGCCAGAGAGGGCAGCCTGTGTTCCAGCGCCTCTTCCTAACACCCCTCTAAAAGGACAGAGAGGCGGCAGAGCAAACCACCTCCTGCAGACAAAAGGCATCCCAGACACCCAGGGCACCAGCCCGGAGACACCACACACTGCAGGCCAAACAAAAGCCTGTGGCACCTGGAATTCCAGGTCACTGGAGGTGGAACACCTCGGGCTGGCCAGTCTCTCATCCACCACCAAGAACAGTTCAGTGACCATGTTAACCAGTGCCACTGTGACTATTCAGGGCCAGCAGTGCCAGTCTGGTGGGATCCCTAAGTGTGAGGACATTGTCATGGCTCGCCTCAGGGAAGCCACACCCTGAAGGTTAAGTGAGCTTACCATGGCCATTAGCAGTCAGCAGGGAGCCAGGTCCAAGCTGAGCCACTCTGATCTCCAGAAGCCACACCAGTGACCACTAACTGGGAAGGCTTGGGACGTGCGAATCTGTCAAGGTGCTGATGGAGGGAAACAAGCATGTTGACTCCTGCAGGGACACACAGAAGCTGGTTGACCCGGAAGAAAATGAGGATTCTGATCAGCTGCTCACTGGCTGGCCTGCAGGGACATGAGGATTCTGATTGGCTGCTTGCCCTCTTGCGGTTTCAAATTAAGATTTCTATCATGTAGCATGTTTTACTTTATAAAACACCCATTTAACTTTTCCTGTGCTTTTACTTATCCAGGTGGACAGAGTAAGCCGGTTATTGCTATTCGAGAGATGAGGGGGCAGCTGGGGAAATGCTTAGCAGCCCCAAGTCCCCCAGCCAGTAGATGACACCATCAGAGTCACATGCATTGTTCTCCCCATACACAGCTCTGGTGCATACTATATAACCACTCTGTCCAATTCCACAAAGACGTGCTCCGTTGTATATTTGAAAGTTAACCCTCACCTGAGACATGACAGCACATCTATCCAGTCAGGGAGAAAGGCCAAGCAAGCCACTCTGAAGGACAAAGAGGAGGGACATGTCTGTGGCTGTCCATGCTTCACATCTGTTCATAAAACCAATGCCAAAGCTTTGGCAACATCGGCATCTTTTGTTATAACCACAAAACCAAAAACCTCAATGCTCTAATATCACGTTGGGTTTGCATTCTGAAGAGATTCACATCTCTAAGGAGTTACAAGACCACGCGCAAATCCAGGTGCACAGGCATCTCTGAACAAGGGGAGCTGCGGATGAACTACAGCTTGTTGGAGCCTCCCAGAGGGGCTCAGACTGCCCAGAGGAGCCTAACCAGCACCCCCTGGAGAGCCTGAAAAGAGGTGGATCCCCAGGTTCTGACCCCACAATCAGCCTTTCTAACCAGTACTCTCAGACACTCTGATATCAGCGGGGCTCGGACACGTTTGCAATTCTGCCCTTGTTGCCCACAAACAGCCCACCTCATGGAGAGCAGCATGTCCCAGGGGCTGGCTCATCAGGCCTTGCTGGAGCCTCAGTCCAGGAAGACTCCCACCACTACTACCAGCAGCAGCCAGACTGTGCCCAGCCCCCACTTGCAGGTCCTGTAGGCTGGGGAGTGAGATGAAGCTAAGTTTAAAAACAAATAAAGAGTAACGACCAGGTATTACATCTCCTACTTTGCCCTGAAATTCATTCCCTCTTCATCCATGTATCTCTGAAATCCAGTACTGGAATTGTCCAATTTGTCAATAAGGTGAGTTTTCTAAACTACTATCCATATGACTCAATTTGTCAGTAAAAACTGCCACCAGCGCTGTGCTTGCAAAAAATGTCCATAAATGCATTATTGCAACCAGCAGATCGATGTCTATAATAAAAACACATAGATTTAACAAGTGTCGGCCCTTTACGAGTCACACCATTGGTGGGCTCTGCATTCAGGGTCACCCTGGACTTCTGGGAATGGGCCACAGAGCTGGGGCTGGATGCTGTACTGACTCCTAAAGTGCTACAGGCAGGAAATTATTCTAACAAGAGAATTTCAGGAAGAGTAGTATGGACATACAGCCATTTACTGCTCTCTCACGAGCCCTTTCATGGCCACACACGCATCCACGAAGTCAAATCCAACAGCCATAAGGAAGCGTTTGCATAGAACTGTTAGCTGGTTTGACAAGAGCTACACTACAGGCCTACAGAGTTTTCTCCAGATGGGATATGGGGGACATGAGGCTCCTTGGAGACCCCACTTTGCTGCTGAGCCACAAACTCAGCTGAAGACAACTTGTGGTATAGAGAACAGGTTTCAACAAATGCACATGGCCATGGGTGTCACCACGGGGCCAGTAGCAGGCCATTTATTTGGTTCTCTTGCTGGGGCTGACTTTCCAACACAGTGCAATAGACTGGCCTAACTGTAAGCGATGCCTAGCACTTGAGCTAGACACAGCACGTGGCCCCTTGACATGTGAGTCACATCTGCCCAAGCCACCAATTCCTTCAAAACGTGCAAAAAAGGAGACAAAAAAGATTCACTCCTCTTCTTAGACCACTCCTTTTAATAATTACACAAAAGAATAAGTTCTTCATAGGCACTGCCTGGTGTTCCCCAAAACATGTGGTCCCCCTCAGTAAGTTCTTTATCATGGTTAATTTTTTTTAAGACAAGAGAAAACCAAACAATATCCACAGACAAGAAAATATGCAGAAGTTACATAAAAGCCAAGAATTTAGGCCACAATACTGGATCTCTAACGTTTACCCACCTAAGCCCAGGATATGCCTCCAGAGCAAGGGGAACAGTGCATCACATACTCGCCCCCAAAACCTTTCACTTTCACTTCAAAACAACAGCAGGGGCTGGCTGCTGATCTGAACAGGCTGCCACAGAGCCCAAGCTCACCAGATGGCACCTATGGTGTCCTGTCTCTGATTTTAAGACCTTCAGGCAGGCTTGAGTGAGTCTGCAGCAGACGCCAGCTCTGAGAAAGCAGCTGCATCAGTCTACCTAATCCAGGGGACAGGGCAGGGGCTGGTTGCCTTTCACCTGAAGTTCAGAGACCCAACCAGAAGCCAAAGGTCTCAGGGGCAGTGGACCTAGACCAGGGTGCTGAACCAGGGAGCTGGCTGGGTCAGGGTGAAATGTGAGCAAACCTGGTGCACAGAGGGTCCTGACTCACATGGTTTAACCTGTGCTGTTCCAACTTCACCACGGTGCGAAAGCACACGCATTCAGCAGACAACAAACTTTGAATGTTTAAATTGAGTTTTTCCCCAGGTAGCAATATGCAGTAAGATACTGTGATCCTGGCAGACACTGCGGCAGCCCCAGTCACAGATGAGGCAGGCGACCCTGGTGTGCCTGTGGCTGAGTGAGGTATTCAGGAGGCCAGGCACACTCAGCGCAGCCTGGCCTGCAGCATGGTCAGCCGCGTTGTATCTGTTAGGACACATCCCTGTCACCAGTGGAGGAACACACATCATACTCCCAGATGGTCAAAGAAAAGAGAATTCAGAAAATACTGCTTCCCACGTTTTCCGTTAAGAAGAACAGACTCCAAACTGAAAAGGGCACGAAGGGGAGACTTAAAGTCCTGATGGTTTGAATCACTAGCTACTAAATGGTTCTCCTCTGGAAAACAAGAAAAATGGCAGCAATTTAGAAGGTCTATTTTATTAATGAATACTTAGGAGAGTCAAGTGCTTAGGTCTCCTGAGAAAGGAGGAACAAACTCCAGGGGAACTTTAGGAAAGGCGAGATCTATGGCCCTCCATGTCACTCCTTCTCTGCAGGAGGGACACCAGGCCAGACACCAGATTCAGTGATGGAAGGCTGAGCAGGAGACAAGGCTGGCCCAGCGTGAGCCACTGACCTTAAAGCAGGACCCTGAGAGCCATGCTCTTCTCTCAGAGGAAGGCAGGCTTAGGAATCTCAGCAGCTGAGCCATACCCAGTGTGTACCTAGGACTCCGCTGCATTAAACCCTGCTAACACTGAAGCCCTTTCAAAGTAGTGCAAGATATCAGTAGTTAAATCCAGCTATTATAATAAAGATTTTTTTTTCTAATGAAAGGAGTATTTACACAGAGAAGCACCTCAAAGCAGTGTACTTGAGGCCTGGTTCCTATAGCTCCAGACTGGAAGACTCACCTCTACTGTTAAATTGTAACAAGATAAACAAGAGGCGGGGCCCAGGGAGAAATGGAAGCCCTCCTAGTGTGGGCCACTTTCCCTGGCCACTTGCAGGCTCTGGTTCCTGGCAGATCCCTCAATAATGCTCTGAGTTAACAAAATTAACTACCAGATGGGTACCCCACCCTCCATGCCAGTGTGCTTCGCCTTTCATCCTCAGGGGTGTTTCAGCCACTGAGAGACCCATGAAAATAACCAAAGCAGGTTGTGATCCTCTGTCAGGGAGGGGGGGGGGGCGTGAAGAGGTGGATCTGTCTAGCAGAGACACCACAGGTTTACATTTGGTTATATATTTAAACCAGTTAACTCTTAGCTCTTTATGTTTAACAGATGGTGTACTCCAGACCACTGCGGTGACCCCTCTGGACAGAGCTGCTTCCCTGTGTCTGACCATGGTCCAACCACCCAAAGGTTTTACATACACATAGAAATCTTGCTTTCCCCGACAGAAAGCCAGCTACTGGGCTGAGGCAACCAAGAGTAAATACCATTCTGAGACTCAGGAAATGATGAACCTAACGAGTGAGGAGTGAGGAATACATACTTTAGAATTACTCTCCTGTATTATCACCAACTGGGGAATCAGGGTGCCAAGTGTAAATGGCTCTCCAACTCCACGTGTTTACTCTAAGTGTTTATGGACCCAATTAGGGCATAATGTATACAAACAGCAGCCCTGATAAGTGGAGCACCCTGGAACTCTGTACTCCTCTATGCTGTCTCAAGCAAGAAGGAAACAGGGGCTCTGCACAAGCAGCATGCTAAAGGCTTGTTGCAAGAAGGACTGAGCAGGGGTTTCTGGAATCTTCCTGGAAGAAAGGGGGAGTGCCCCGCCCCCCTCCGTGTGCTGTGCCTTCAACACTAAAGAGCAGTAGAGTGGGCAGGGACACCTCAGGGTCCAAGTCTGGCTTCAGCAATGCCTTGAAAGTGTTGACCATCTGGAGGTGTGATGGGGACAGCCACAACCACCATGCCAGGCCACTATTACCGGAGTGCAACTTGGCCTGTGAACTCCAAGCCCAGGGGAAGGCAGGGCATTCCTGAGTTTCACCTGGGGCACACGTGGGGCCGGTCCCTGAGGGCTGGGTGGGGGAGGGCGCCCATAAGACTACTCGTGGGCGGTTGCGATTGTCCCTCAGGCTCCCGACGCCCGCTCTCCCCAGGGACAGCCCGGCACTGTGCTGGGAAGGAGGTGATCCAGACACTCACCAACTTGCAAGGATGCTGACCGCCAAAAACTGCGAGCACCAGGACACAAGTGCTCAGGAACTGGTCTGCCCAGGCACTCACGGGGCCGAAGGGGCGGGGCCTACGAGGACGCGGCAGGGCGGGGCCGCAGACCTCGGGGAGGGGAGCGAGCTGGGGAAGCAGGGGCGGGTCCTGGGAGAGTCGGGGCGGAGCCGGGTGGCGGACAGCGTGGGGGCGGGGCCTTCTGGGGGCGGGGCCTGCGGGAGGAATCGGGGCGGGCCTGTGGGATCGGGGCGGGGCGGGGCCTGCGGGCAGGACCGGGGCGGGGCCGGGGCCCGCCGGAAGCGGAGCCGAGAGCAGCTCGGCTGGCGATGGAGCATGCCCAGTGCACGGCCCGGCCGGCCGCTCTGCGCAACCTCCCTGGGCGCCTCGTCTACGGGTCTGGCGTCGGGCAGCGTCTGCCGGTTGCCCCTCGGCCTGCCTCGGCCTCTGGGCTCCGCGGCTCAGTGTCCCTGCTCGTGACCCTGCCAGCCCAGGCTGCCGCGCGCCCCCAGAGGGCGGAGGCCGGGGCAGGAGCCAGCCCCCTCCAGGACTGCACCTGAGAGCGCGGCTCACCTGGCGGTCGCCCGGGAAACAGGCCTAAGCCCAGGCAACAGGACTGCGCAGGTGCTCTTCCGCGCCAGGTGCGCGTGCTGCACACATGCTGTGAGTGGAAAGCCACGGTGGAATGCTGACCTCTTGTCTCAGAATGTGACCTTGTTTGGAGGTGGGGCTGTTACCGAGGTAACAAGTGCAAATGAGGTCATGAAGTAGTGGGACCCTAAACCAGTAGGACTGATGTCCTCGTAGGCAAAAGGTGACCTAGAAACTGAAACTTGGAGGATATGTCCCGAGCCAGGGCACCTGGAGCCATTAGGGCTGGAAGAGGGCCAGATGGCTTCTTCCCTAGATCCTGCAGAGAGCCCGGTTTGTCACACCCTGGTCCATACTTCTAGCAGCCAGAACTGTAAGACAATAAGTTTCCATGATTTTAAGGTGCTCTAACAATTTGTGATATTTTGTTATGGCCACCCCAGAAGATGAGTCCAGATGCCATGGTATGTAGCTGGGCGAGCATAACAAACCCAGGGAGCAGGATCATCCCTGGAACTTCAGGGGGCCCACCCATTGGCAGTTTCTGTCTCAGGTACACCACATATTCTAAGCACCATGCTACAGGCCTCCTGGGGTGCATTTGTTTACATAGTTAGTGGAACAAGATCTCTTGCCTTCCTAGTGTAAACTCCCCTGTAGGAATTTGGCCAATCCTCATATCCTGATCTTGTGACTTGCAGGATCTGACACATTAACATCGTTGGTAAAAGTATTTAGAGGAGAACCTCAGCTGGGTTCGTTTATGATGAACCCCAGGGATGTACACAGGCGGCATCATCCATCCTCTGAGGATCTCCACTCTGGCCATGCCTTCTCTGGGACATGCTTGTTACTGGTGGAAAATGAATGAGGCCCTGGGTACACAAAGATAATCAAACCAAGGCACCTATGTCTCCACTGAGCCTAAATACAGAGTTCTCGACACTATCCCAGTCAGCCATAAGTGTTTAAGCTCAAGTGGCAGGAGAGATGAAACAGGTCGCCTGACTCTGGTCTTTTCTGTTGGCTCTCTGTGGATTTTAGAAAATTCATACAACTTCCTCAATTCTACTTCTGTCTTCTATAAAGGAGTTCTAAAAGGATCTACCCTGTGCATATATAGACCATGCTTACTTATAGGGGTAACAAAACATCAAACTGAATGATAATTACCTTATACCTGGCCTCTTGTAACCTGTTATTACCATAATCCATTAGAACGGGACTCCTAAAAGAATTGAAAAGGGGACTAATACCAAGATTGAGCCAGAGTACCTACCAGGAGCCTAACAAGTATGCTCTGAAGTAGTTAACAACTAATATGTGATTCTTACCCTTAAAAAATGTGAATGGTGGGGCTGGGGTTGGGGCTCAGCAGTAGAGCGCTTGCCTAGCATGTGTGAGGTGCTGGGTTTGATCCTCAGCACCACATAAAAATAAATAAAGTTATTTAAAAATGTGAGTGGTGTATTAATATGAATTCCTATGCTTTTACAAAAATGGGCTAATTGGTGCTCACGTCTGATTACCCACCCAGGAAGAAACAGTGATCCCAGGCCCTTTAGGTGAATTTTGGAGAATCCGGAGGGGTAGGCCAGAGAGAGAAGTGTCCACCACCAAGGCAGGTGCGTGGACCTGGCCCCACCAGAGGACTGTCACCCTTGCAGGGAAGAGAGGAGAACTGTGTGGCTCTAGCATCAGGAGCCAAGAGAGGCAAGAGGAAGAAGGTCACCACCCCTGAACAAGACTGGCTCTTCTAAACACAGGATTCTAAAAAGTGGCCTCAGGCTCTGCAGTGACCAGAACTAAGACTTGTATCCCGGAATCTGCTGCTGCAAGTTCTTCTCTTCTTTGGGATAATTTCAAAAACCCAAATCATTTTCATTGAGAGTTCCCTGGGCCTCTTACCCTGTCCCATGACACTCTTGTCCTCACCTACCTCTCTGGAACACAGGGCTGCTTCGAGCAGGGGCATGGCTTGGTGCAAGGTACAGGAAGGAACACAGGGCAGATCAAGAGGTTGGAGCTGTGTTCCCGCCCCGCCCCTCACTGAGCCATTCACCCCTGACTTCTCTGTAGGATGACATGACAGACTGGATGGGCGAGAGCCCTTTGCCCTCCGGGTTTCCCATCTTGGTATTAAGGAATTGTGTTCCTTTCTTCTCTGGGTACAGATTCCCAGGAACGACATTTTACAAACCAGGTGGGAAACCCACAGAAGGTAGCTCAACTTCAGTCTGACTTCTCAAAAGTGCTTCCTGGATTTTCTTAAAGATCTGCCAGCTTTTTATGGGCGCAGGGAACAGTGTTAATTTGCGTAGTTTCTTTAAAACTCCGAACGGATGGCTTTGGGGTTAAGCAAATGGACATGACACGTGATTGCTTCTAATGATTTGCAACCCAAGAAATTTGTTTAATAAGCCTCTCTTTCCTAGCTACTTTGTGACATTAGAGACCATTTACAACAAAGCTGTCTTCAGTAGTCAAACTTAATCCTTACTACCCTACCTTGGGGAAATGAAGGGATTTTATAACGATCACATAAAACCTTATGTGGTTTGTAAGCCCTGAACTCCGGACAAGCTTGAGGTGGTCGTGTAACAAAGAAACATATCACCGAGCTCCCACTTTAAATGTTTTACATATGGTTTGCTTTTAGGACAGCATCTCCAGTGGAGAGCTTCCCGATTAACACAATCGATTTTCTCGGCCCCAGTGTTCCTGTGCAGGCTGGAGCCAAAGGCCAGAGTCAGCGCCTCAAGCCTGCGTGAGGCCTGGCGCCAGGAGGTTCTGGAGAAGCAAGGAAGTTGGGAAGGGTGGGCACCCAGCCTCTGCTGGCACTCCTGTCCCACGCTGGCTCTCAGCAGGGCTGGGCACAGAGGGACTCCCTGGCTCTCCTGACCCTACACAGAGGCAGAAAGTCCTTCCCCAGGAGCCTCTGGGAGCTTCTACTGAGGTCTGGAAGCCCTTCAGATTCCTCTTGGGTCGAGGACAGGGGACTGCCTAAGGCAGTCCAAAGATTCTTTAGGAAGATGTTTCCTAGGACTTTGGGAGGCCTGGGCGGTGCCTGGGCTGGAGGGACATTTAGTGGGCCTGTGGCAACAGCTCTCGGTTGCCTGGGGCCTGGAAAGGGAGAGGCTTTGCTTCTCCATGCTTCTCTGGAGCTCTGGGCCCCTCCAGATGCGCTGGCGACAGTGGGTGCTCCACTCCTTCAACAAGCCCTTCCCTTCCCCTTCCCTGGTGTGCCTGGCCCTGTGCAGTGGCTGCCCCCTGCACACAGCAGACACACAGAGAGGCCAGGGTACCGCTGGGGTTGGAGCGATGCTGTAGGGAAAAGCCCCCAAGGGGGAGAACACCAACACCAGGAGAGGTTCAGGACCACTGTTGGTTTTGGTTTTGGTTTTTTTTTTTTTTTTTTGGAATTTGGATCCATTTGCCTAGTAATGGTTGGACAAAGATCATCCCAAACTGTATGTAATTCTTCCTTCCAAAGAAGAGAACTGAAGGTCCAGGAATGTTTATGCCACATGTGAACAAGTCAACAACAGCCAGCTCTTCGGGTGTAAATATTTGGACAAGGCAGCTTGGAGAGCCGCTTCTGTAAGTGAGCACATTTGGGGGCATCCTCCCAGCCCCGCCCATGTTGGCTATTGAGTGTCAAGCCCTCAGGACTGGGCATCTTGTCAGATGTTGGTTCTTTGGAAAGCGGCTCCTACACTCATTACAAAGTGTTTTTGATCCATTTTCGGGAAGGGCTTTGTTTGTAACACATTGTTGGCAGTTTGGGAAGAATCTTTTAAGTGGTGTGAACTGCTGGGGGGTGTGCACCTGGGCGCCAGGAGGAAGTGGGTCTCCCGCCCCCGCCTTCTGGGATGAGCCAGAAGCGCCTGTTATTTTGTGACTTGGAAATTAAAGCAGGAGACCTGGGGATTTTGATGCTGAGATTGTGATCTGCCACCATTTACTTCTGACTGGTAAACCACAAATGAGAATTAGGATGGAAAATAGCCCTGCCAAATGTCCGGCTGCTGCAAAACAGGAACTTGAAAGTGGTTGTCCCCACCCCCACACCAGTGGCAGGGTCCCCAGTCTGGCCCTGTGTGTTGGGCCACTGGTATAAAGTGATGAAAGTGAACCTGAAAGGTAACAACCACCTGATCAGAGCTGGCATTGGGGACGGGACGGCCCGTCCTGTGATCCCTGAGAGAGGCACCAGTTTCCATCTCGGGAGCCAGGAAGGCGAGGTCCAGGCATGGCCCCTTGGTCTGTCTGAGGAGCAGCCAGTAGACAGGAAAGCCCTCCGTGGTCCAGGAGCCCACCCATCAGGGACTGAAAGGAATCCTGCTCCTGGACTTGGACTCCACCGGGTTAGGCTATGGGATTGGGAAGCCGGTGTGGGGTGGCTTCTGGGGAGGGCCAGTGTAGGTGGGCCAGGTGGGCTCTTTCTCCTACAGGGGAAGAGACCC